TGCAGGGGGTGGAGTGGGTTAAACATGCACAAATATACATTTGGAGTTTACTCCAGTAGTTTAGATCTTTGGATCTATGAAGCACTATGCAACTGTTTTCTTCTCTATATTGAACCAACTCTACGTTCCTGGCGTAAGTCCAGTTTGGTCATAGTGTATAATCTTTTTAATAATAGCCACCTTCATAATTAATATTTTTAATATTCATTGAGGATATTTGCCTATAGGTTTCTTTCTCTGTCTCCCTCTAGGTTTTAAAGACCATTTTTGTATCAAAGAAGGAGTTTGGTGGGATCCCTTTTCCTGTTTTACAAACAGTTTATAGAATATTGGAATTGTTCTTTTGATTATTTGATGGAATTTACTTGTAAATACATCTGATCTGATCCTGGACTTTTTTCTTTGGAAGTTTATTTTTTTGTTCAATTTCAATTTCCTTTTATTAGCCATGCACATCTAACCATAGGGCACAGAAGATAGAGAGCTGGTCAGGGAGTCAAGAAGACCTGAGCTCAAGTCCTGACTCTCACACAGTGGCTGTATGACCATAAACTCTCACTACTTTGAGCAACTCTCTAAAGCTATATGTTGCAAATTAAGGTGCTGACCTGCATTGGTAAAGAGAGTTAATATAGGGGGAGCTCCTTGTATCTATGAAGTCACAAGTCCAGTCCTTATCCTGAAGAGCCTTTGAGTACTCTCAAAGTACTTTGAGAATTCTTAACTTTTGTTGAAGATTTGGGGGAAGGGTTCAGGAAGATGAATTTTAGCTGGGTCTGAAGCTATATTTGCTTCAGAGATGAAGTTAGGTGAGGACATTCCATATGGAGAAATAGAAGCTGGAAAATGACGTATAACCCTTTTGTCTGGGGCTAAAAGGTACAGGGGGACTAGTGGGAGATGGGGTTGGAAAGGTAAAATTTGTAGGGATCAGATGATGGTGGGCCTTCAATGCTTGACCAAAGAGTTGACTTTATTCTCTAGTAATTATAATGGCTCATTATTTCTAAGTTTCTAAAGTACTTCAAATTTTCAAAACTCTTCCTTCACAACATTGTGATACTGGTATTGTGAGCACTATTTCCCAAATAAAGAATCTGAAGTTCAGGAGTGATGAGGTGAGCTTCAAGGGTAACACATTCAGTTAAGTATAAGAAAGGGGATTTGAGCTCAGGTCTTCACACTCCAAGACTGACTGCTCTTTCCATTGCACCAAAATGCCAGCTTTGGGACTTGGAGACCCACCAAAGGTTTCTGATCAGGAGAGTGACATGAGATCAGAGACGTGTTTTAGAAAGGAACCCATGGGTGGAGGGTGGATGGATTCTGAGGAGGGTGCTGTTGGGGGTAGGGAGTCCAACTGGGGAAAATGTTCCGAGTAACCTAGGCCAGGTAATAAAGGCCTTATTTCCCCTTTTTAGGCATTGTGGGTAGCCGGTGGTCTTCGGTCAAGAGGACAGGGCTCCGACAAGTATTACTTGCTTCAGGCATAAAATACCTCAGCTTGAGGTAGTAAGGTAGTATTTGGGAAGAAAAGTTACGCTGTTCTCCAGTAAAAGCTTGAGCTTGTCTCCAACTAAGTTTCACGTTCTTTTGAACATGTCCTCAGGAAACGACTACAAACCCCATGAGGCTACGGCAGGAAGGGGGAGGGACTTCCTTGTCCTTCATGGTGATGCATTGTGGGATCTTGTAGCCAGCTGGCCCCTGGAACATTGGTCTTCAGTTTTCTTCCCGGCACCCCATTCCACCGGAAGTCCTTGAAGCCTCTCCAACGTCTTGCTCGCCCTTACACGACGTCACTTCCGGATAACACAGGCGATTGTTACTGACAGCACGCTGCGGTCTCTCCTCCACCTCAACGGCATAACACGGTCTTGTTTCCTATGGTCCCGTCTAGTTTTCGTCGTGAGGGCATCGGCCCATCGCCATCTGACCCCAGCGGTTGGAAGGCGGGGTGGGGCGAAGCTGAGGGTCCCCTTGCCCCCAAGGCCGAGTAGAATTGATGGGGAGGATTGGGAGGGAGGTGCGTGGATCGAATCCAAGCATCCAGGGCAGTGATGTAGGAGGGTAAGGAGAAGGCAAGGCTGGGTACCCAAGAAGGAGCTGTAGGAGGGAAAGAGCGGAGGGGTAGGGGCCTCTCAAATGATGTAAAAGTAAAACGTGGTGGAGGAAGGGGTTGGGAAACAAGGATAGAGGGAGGAAGGGGTATGATGGGCAGGGGAGAAGCAGGGAATGCAGGAAGTAACAGTGCTGGGGGCATGGAAGGTCAGCACATTATCACTACTTGATGTTTGTAGCCTTCACCGGCCAGTGG